TGGGAGGAGGGTAGAGAGAATGGTGCAACAATGAATGAATGGAAACCCAAAATCTCTGTAAATGTTTATGAAAATTAATAAAATATCATTATAGAGAAAAAAAAAGAAATCTCTGTCCTCAAAGGACATGTGTTCTATTCTCTGCTGCTTCTTTGCTGGTGATGCAATTCCCAAATTTCTGCCTCTGAACTTGCTTTACTTAAACCTGGTAGAAGGGTGAAACTAACCAATCCTCTCAAGGATAGACAGACACATCCTATTTGCATGTCTTTGGCAACATCAAGGGTAATGGCCTAGAAAACCATTTTGAGCAATAGACTCACTACACCACACACATAGGAAGCAACTGAAAATACCATGGCCTGGATCAGACAGGCACACCTTCTTCTTTACAGTGACATCCTTGCTCTTCAGCAGATTTTTAAGAGGTCCTTGACAATAAATTTTTCTGTGATATATATTTTTATTTTTTTTATTTTATTAATTTTAATGAATATTTACAGAGATTTTGGATTTTCATTCACTCATTGTTGCACTTTTTTTTCTTTACCCTCCTCCCTCCACATCTTTTTCTTTTTGATTGTTGCTACTCTGGGTGTTGATTATGGATCCAAATTAGTTGAAATCCTGGACACCTTCAATCTTTTCTCCATCTCTCATGATGTCACCTATTGGTCTAGTGGTTAGGATGTCTGTTTTCTTCTTGTGGAGATGCAACCCATAGTGAAGGCTGTACTCTTTGATCTACATCAAATGGGGATTAAAAGCCCAAAGGAGGCCTGGGCTAGACAAGAAGAGAATAAGAAATCTACAGTTAGCTTTCACCAATGCCAGTCAAGTCCTGTTCTCAACTCAAGGTCTCTTGATATGATGGCATGCATGCAGTTCGACTCTATAACACAGGGGTCAGTATGGGTCAGATTTAGGTCCAAACGCTTTAAATGTAGCAACTGAATTATTTGAAGGTTAACAACCCTAATGTCAGGAGATGTGTTGGGAAAGACTGCAGTCAGGGACCTCTCCAAACAGGGGCAACGATGTCAGTGTGAAGGCTAAAGTGCACCTGTTTCGGGCCTTGGTCTTTCCCGTCATTTGCTATATATGTGGCCAATCAGGATGACAGAAGTTGGACAAGATTGCTGAATACCCCATGGACTGTCAAAATAACAAACCCTGGAGAAGGTGCAGCCAGAGTGCTCCTTGGCCAACGTGGTAAAACTTGGTCTCACATACTTTGGGCATGTTGTTGTTGTTGCTGTTGTTATGTGCCGTCGAGTCATTTGCGACTCATAGCGACCCTATGTACAACAGCCCTAAACCCTGCTCTATCCTGTGCCAAT